TAGTGTCATTGGCTCATACGAGTGTCGTCACCTTAGAATGAATCTTTCCCAACACGTAGGAATTTAGAAGCTGGTCTGTTTTCGTCATCCTCTCGTCTATTCTATGCATTCCATCTCTTCTTTTCACGTAGATGTGTGAGTATTCCCTGCACCACTTGCAAGAGGTAAAATCATTCTGCTTTTCGTGATTCTTGTGATCTCATCTATGAACACGCAAGGCATCTGTTTATATTATTATAAAAGGTTAAAGTATAAATCTACTTGAAAGTGTGCAGCAAAAGTACAATTGGTATTCGTGAGACATTATACCGTTTTTAAAAAGTCCGGATAACGTTGCACCATTAAAAACCCCATTATACATAAAAGATAGGTCGGATGGATTATTATTGGCTTTTTGCTAGCTACACTATTCTCTTTCTTTCTTTCTTTTCGTTATTCTGATTAACTCTGTCTTCCACCTGTCTATCTTTTTCGGTCCTGAAGCTAATCAAGCAATCTGCTACTCATTCTTTATGTTATTGAGTGTTGTAGAAGCGAAGAGTTTGGCATAAAATGACATCAACTTGAATGGTGATCGAAGTAGCGCATTATATTGTGGTCACCATATTTTATTCATCAACAAACATGGAATATCGTTTTTCAGGGTCGGCTCCAGAGAATGATCAAGATTTTCCACGATGTACTGAAGGAAAATGAATCATATACACATGTCAAATTTTCAATATACTTTATATATTATATTATTTTGAGAACAAGTGTTTCAAAACTTTAAAGACTCATATGATAATTTAAAAAACATAAAAAATCAGATTAACAAAAGTTAAACTTAAGGAACCGAATAAATAGCTGAGATAAATTTGAGGGATAAAAACTTTTATTATCACATATGTATTATTACTTGATTAGTTGAATTGATTGACTCATATGGGATCTTCAGCTCATTGTTTGTGTCCATTGTCTCAATGCACATCTCTTTCTGCGCTGCACATTTCTTCGTGCTTGAAGACAAATTTAAGAATGGAATGTTCCTTCTTTACGCCGCCACTTGCCTTCCGGTTTCCGTCAATGCAATCGCACAGTTTCGGCTCTACCTGGATCTTTTCAAAGCCATTGTTACCAAGGCTCTCCAATCACGTCATTTTGGCCATCTATGGTATGTGTTTATATATATATATATATATATCTCGTGGGGGAACTTCAACCTTTTTAATTTTCATTTAACTCGTGTTTTTGTTTCTGTTTTTGTTTTGGTTTGTTTGTTCCCCTCCCAGTTGACTTGAGTTATATTTGAATTGATGGATTTGAATTTAAATTTTATATTTAAAATATCATATTTAAAATTTTTGTTTAGATAATGTAAAAAAAATTAAAGATAAAAGAGAGATGAGCTAAAATTTGAAGCAAAAATAAAAAATTGAGAGTAATGAGTTTATTTGTATTTTTTAACTCGTGAGAGACGAGAAAAAAAAAAAAGGGAGGGGTGGTGCAACTAATACATGCACTGATAGTGAAAACTTGAATAAAAGAAGAAGGTCGGAGTATGTGAAATTTTTAAATAACTCAAGTCTAGATGGAATTTGAAATTATAATTACAAATAGTTTGTAATAAAACATGTATTTGGGTTTGGTCAAATCTAAAATCCAAAGATTTTTATGTATTTAAATGATAGAATATTTGGTTTTAAATCTAAATCCAAATCTACCATTGATAAGCATTTGAACTTAATTTTTCTGATCTTAAATAGTTGCCTTGCGTTCTTTGTGCTTTGCATATGAATAAAACCATCCAGTTAAATATATAAGATCAACCTCGCTCAAAGAAATAATGTTTGCGATTCGTCGTTTTTTTTTAAACAACATGTAAAGAAATATTTTATTTGTATTGTTTCATGTTACTTTGCAAGACCTAATTAAATATAATAATTTTTTTGGCCAGTAATTAAATACAATAATTTGTACTATCAGACTATAACAAGCGTCAAGCGAAACGCCTCCAAGTTTACACTTTAGACAATACACACAGAAACAGATACGCTCGCACACGTGTGATATGAATATCAACTAGTCAACATTAATTGTTCTTAAAATCGCTCAAATTAAATTTATGTAATAAAGCAATTAGGTACTCAAACTAGCTTATATACTTAAAATACTTCATTATTTTTATTTCAACAAAATTGAGATATATGGATTTTTACTGACAATATTTCTATTACCTCTTATTATTATGTTGTGATTTGATTTGATAAAAATGTAAAGTATGTTCCTCCATCTTCTTCTTTTTTTGATTGCTCACATCTATTATTCTAGTGGAGACAATCATATTCAAGATATAGTCGGGTATTAAAATCTTTGTTTGGTTTTGTTGTGAGGGTCCAACTTCTTCTACTAGACCAAACTGCCATTGGTCCCTCCATCTTTTTCTAAATTCAAAGGATTAATAATATATTATTTCTTTAAATTAATATTTATTATTTGAAATATATAAAAATATATTGCAAGTGTTCATTTATAAATTATATTTGTTAACCTATAATGGAAGTCTACATCTCTAATTCAAATTTTAATTGAATTGTTGATATTGTGGTTTGGATGTTATAAGTCTTATTATTCTCTTTACGTTTTTAATTTAAATATAATTTTTAATAAGTATTTTTTTAAAATATTAATTTAAGATACAAAAATATTAAAATTAAAAAAAAAATAAAATATCTTAATTATAATATCCAGGTTGAAAATTTACTAGACACACTTTTATCCATAATTTTACAAGTATGTACAAAGTAATTAATTTCACGTTCATGAATTTTCCCTATATCTCCCACGATTCAACAGAATATATTGCCTATAGTTTTTGCCTTTTAGGATAAAGAAATTAGCTTGATCCAACAAGGGAAGCCAGTATTTTTCTGGTAATTTAAAAAGAAACATGATAAATTGAACGGTCATGCATATGAACAGATTTCATCGAGGAGATTCTGAATGAATAGAAAAGTTTGCCCCTGGGTCCTGTGTAAACTGTAGAAACCTTGGAGGAAAGTAAGGTCATTGTCCAGCTTAAGATTGGTATTCTGTGCATGACCTATATATATATATATATATATATAGTGGCAAAAGCCCCGTGCTTCGCTTCATCCTTGCCTGTCTATATATTTTCTTTGTCTCATTTTACCTCTCTCACCTTTTGGCTTTTGTGTTGATGACTCTTGTTTTAAGATTCTCCCGTCAATATACAAGAAGCAAAGGATATATACACTTACTAGCTTTTGTGACCTTCAATATTTTCTGCTTTTGATCCTTTGATTTTTCTCTCTAAAACTTGTAGTTGTACAGTTATTCAACTGCATCTTCAAGTATCATGCATCTACTATTACAAAAATAATTTTTAACGTCATTAATTTATGTCAGTTTTATAAAAAAAACTGAAGTAAAAAAAAAAGATCAGTGGCAATTTTATAATTTTTTTAAAAGAGTTCTTACATTGGTTTTTTTAAAAACTAACGTGAAAAACTGTTTTGTTTTTTTAAATTTTTGCTTCTTTTTTTACATTAGTTTCAAAATAACTGATGTGGAATATAGAAACCGTGTTGGTTTTTTTTTCAAAACCGATGTGGTATCTCAATTTAAAATTTAAAAAGTCACAGACGTGACTCTTCAGATATATTTTTTCTTAGCTTTTTTAGATTTGTAATGTAAGTCTTCTCTTATCTCTTTTTCTTCATTTTTATTCAAAACTAACACCTTTTTCCTCCCTCCACCATTTGAAGTCCCGTCGGTCACTATTCCATAGCCACTTTGCCACCCTTCATTGTCACCGTCATTGTTTAGGTTCCATAGGTATGTACATTTCATTTCTCTTCCATTTTTTACAAAATTGGAAGAGTAAACATTTCTCCTCCATCTTTATATTTCTCTTCTATTCGAAGTACTTTTCCATTCCTTTTCCACTCTGTTGGTTGTGGTGTGTGGGTTGTCGTAGGTGGTATGTTAGTAGCAGTTAGTGTGTGGGTCTTCCACTCGTGGTTTCCTCCTTGCTATTTCAATTTAGTGTTGCTCATCTTCCATCCTTTTCTTCCATTAGAGAGATTTTGCTAGCTCTTCTACCATAAGTTTTTATTTTTATTCATTTTTCTTTTTTTTTTGCCTATTGATATTCTGATGGGTTGATTTAATTGAATATTTGTATAGTTAGATATTTCAATAGATGAATTTATCCCTTTAAATCTTTAATTTAATTCTCAAATTTATACTTTATAATAGTTGATTTAATTGAATATTTTTATATTTAAGTATTTAGATTGTTGAATTGATTTAGTTAACATTATTATTGATCTTGGATTAATTATATGTATTTTTTAGTATTCAAACAAATATATGTGTGTATATACATATGGATTAACATATTAGTTATATAAAGAAAATATTATATTAATTTATTTTATAAATATATATTTAATATAATTGTAACTTGTTGCATAATCATTGTGATCTTATGATCACGCAAGACATACATTTATATGTTATAAAAGGTTATAGTATAAATCTACTCTAAAAGTATCCAGCAATAACCGCCACTTACTTGTTTTGAGGTGATAGATGATGAGAGGAATTGTGCTAGTTATAATGAAACTTTTTTTTGGTACCTTTTTGGGTTTAGATTTTAATACAGTTCTCAGTTTCAATTTTCTTTTTTAAAAAAAGTATTCTGCAAGAAGTTAAAAAAAAAAAAAAAAACATAGGTTGGATGGATTTATGACTTTTTTCTAGCTTACGACGTACACTATTTTTCTTTTGCTTTGCTTTGTTTTGTTTCCTTCTTTTCTTTATTCAGTTTAACGCTGTCCCCACCTGCAGTCCTATACCAAGTCTTTTTCAGTTCTGAAGCTAATCAAGCAATCTAGTACTCATTAATTATTTATGTTAACGCGTGTTGAAGAAGTACAGAGTTTGGTATAAAATGACAGCACTCAGATGATGAATGGTGATCGAAACGGCGAACATTGTGGTTATCATTTCATCAACAAACTCAAACAAATGGATCCTTTTTCATGGCCAGCTTCAGAGTTAGAGACTGAGGGTCATCCACTAGCTTCTGAAGAGGAAAATAAATTATTATGCCAGTCCACATTCAAAGGTGACTGGAAAAAGGTGACAGAGTTATATAAAAAAACAACAGGGGTTCAGAGCACAGTGATCACACCAGCGAGCTCACAAGACACGGCGCTGCACGTGGCCATCAGTGATGACAGAGAAGAAGAAGTGAAGAGTATGGTAGAATCAATCGTCAATCACAAGAACGAAAAAGCTCTGATACTGCAGAATGGCAGAGGGGAAACCCCTCTGCATCGTGCAGCCACAAGAAAGTCGGTGACAATGTGTGAGCACATCGTGGAGGCAGGAGGGAGAATGCAGACGGATTTGCTCGGTATTCCTAACAAATGGGGCGAGACACCCATTTTCATGGCGGCTCTTTACGACCGTAAAGACGCCTTCATCTTCCTCCACAAGGCTGCCATTGTCATTGGCAAATACCAGCGGTACCCAGAAACACTTCTCACAAGAAGGGACGGTTCTGGAGAAAATGTACTTCACTGTGTCATCAGGAGAGAGCATTTGGGTGAGCATCTCATTTATATATATATATATATGTGGTTATTTTGTTTGACTGCAGGTTCTTCAGACGATATAATTAATGAATGGTTATTGGTGTTGCAAATATTATCAAACATGTATACGCAGATCTGGCATTCCACGTAATCAACATGTACCCAGATCTTGCGGGCAAGGCCAATGAGAAGGGAGAGACTCCTCTTCATGTGCTTGCTGGCAAACGTTCTGCCTTTAAAAGTGGCCTGAGCCTATCGTGGTGGAAGGAGATCATATACAACTGTAAGTATAAATACCACTACGCTAGCTAGTATCTTTCAAGGGGAAAAAAATAAAATAAGATTAATTGCCAGCTTTGGCCGTATGCATTGCTGATTGATAATTATCGTGTTTTCGACGAAAGGTGTCAATGTCGATCTGCCGAAATATGATCCGGAATGTTGTGGGAAAATTAACGAGAATGCATGGCGACCGGCCAAGTCATCTGGCAACCAACGTGGTAAAATTTTCGAACATCAAAATTTGGATAAATTTTCTCTGAGATTTTTGTTTGTAAAATTAAATAGCATACAACTGGATCGCCCCGCTTTTTAATAATACACTTATTTTTTAAAATTAAATGAAAGTTTGTGCGCTATATATATTGGTTTCATTTTTATTTTGTTAGCTGAATCGTCCTCCAACTTAATTCAAAATATTGAAATAAAATGTTTTATGGAAGGCGTTTTGATGAAAATTAAAAGTTACATTAAAGTATACATGTTTTGATAATAAAAAGTCAAAACAACATAATTTCAACAAACACAAAATAATTTTTATTTTTAATATACTATTTCAAATATTTGACACTCAAAAGTATAAGAAATCAGCAAATTCAAATCAGAGAGGGAATAATTTTCCTTTCACATCCAAACATGCATTCATGATCTGTTGGTGCGCAGGAGAGAAGAATGGAGGGGATCCTGAGGCCCCAAATAACTCCTATATTAATAAAGATATTCCACAGAATTATACTACCTGTTGCCAAGTTTCGGTGTCTGTCTACCAAATTCTGATTCGCTTCATGGGATTGGCCGGTATGCTCCTTCAACTTTCATTTCTTGCTCTCTCGTTATAAATATCTAAAACTTATGAGAGGCCACATATTATTTGCAATATTCTACTCATTTTATAAGATGTAAATAGTGTGGCTCATGTTATTCTGAGTCAAATTTATGCTTGATTCGTGTGAATTTACTTGACAGGGAATAACATAGTTAGCAAAATAAGGGAAGAGAAAGAAAAGCATGCGTGGAGTGTTGGGATATTGAATGCGCTCATGGAAACTGGAGAAACATACGTTTCTGTTACTTATGGAAGAGGCCCCGGAAGGAGCAAAGTATTTGATCCAAGAAAGCAAAATCCACCAACGGCTGGTGAAGCTCATCAGAATGGTACAATACAATCCATTCGATTTTCAGTTCTTTCAAATCAAAAGACAATATCTTCTGCAGTATTTGACACATGGATGAATATTAGGCACAGTAGGTGCTCATCTTTGACATGAGCAGAGTACATTTGAATAATTAATATACATCAGTTATAAAAATTTTAATATTAAATTGGATCCTCTATTTATAAAATAAAATTTGGATCCTCTAAATTAAATCTTGACCAAATTTAAAATAAAAAATTTATTAAATTATTTTATAATTTTTATTTTACTCAATATAATATAAAATGATACTTGAAATCTCAACAACTTAAATTTTAATATGAATGGTTTAAATCTCATTCCCAAAATGTGCACATAGTGCTCATAGGTGGGATGAGCATGGAAACTGAACCGCTTGTCAAGTGGTTGAGAGTGGTTCATCACATGTACAATTGTCATTCTCACATGAGTCTCCAGACTCTTTATATTGTACTGATTTCCTCACTTTGAATAATATTCTAAACAGATCCATTTATTTCTATTAGGGCTGTTTTTGACTTAAATCTTTACAATTTTTTGTGATTATTTTTATATATTATTTTAATGTAAATCTATCATATCTCTATTTGATATTTTAGGATATATTTATTATTATTTAAGATGCTGATGAGGAGTTCTATATATATATATATCTCGTCTTTCCATCTCTCATAGCAAAGACCATTATTGAAATTTTTATTTTCTATAATGAAATTATTTGCTCATTGTCCGTGGGTTTCTTTGTCCCTCAAATTGGGAGTTTTTCCACATTAAATTTCCTGTGTCATTTTATATCATTTTTTTAATTTCTCTATAATTTTTAATTATTTTATCTTATTTACTTTTGCTGATTATTTATTCACTTCCTATAACAGATAAGGAGACAGAAATTTATACGCCCTTGTTGGTGGCAGCCAGGGGAGGTGTAGTTGAAGTCGTGAATAAAATTCTAAGCCAATTACCAGTGTCCATCTACGATACCACGTCGAAGGACAAGAATATATTGCAGGTGGCAGTGGAGAACAGGCAACCCTGGGTTATTGAGGCAGTTCGTAAACAAGTCAACAACAAAACATTAAAGCTTAATCTTTGGGACGACCTTATTGAATCAGTGGATACTGATGACAACACTGTATTGCACTTAGCAGCCAAATATGATGATTCCATCTCTCACCACTCGCAGGTTCATGGCGCTGCCATGCAGATGCAATGGCAAATAAAGTGGTATGAGGTAACTAATAAACTCGTGCCAGTTTATTATATCCATGTACGTATGTAATTTAATTTAATTACCTACTTTTTGACGATGGAATTTGAATCACAGTATGTGAACTGGTTGTCGGCAAAACACTTCCTTTTCCTTACCAACCGAAAAGAAGAAACTCCGGAACAGATCTTCCTTCGAGACCATAGAGCGCTTGTCAAAGACAGTGAAGAATGGCTCAATCGTACGTCTGAATCTTGCTCGGTGGTGGCCGCCCTGGTTGCCAGTGTTTCCTTCGCGACGTCGAGCACTGTACCCGGCGGTAACGATGAGAAGACCGGCAAACCAACCTTAGAAGGACATCCTTGGTTTGATGTTTTCGCTATCCTTGCACTTATGGCGCTCTGCTTCTCTGTCATTGCACTGATCATGTTTCTTTCCATACTAACCTCTAAAAAACAAACCGGGGATTTTTTGAAAAAGATTCCAATGAAGCTTTTTCTGGCCTTAAGCTCACTCTTCGTGTCCATTTTCTCCATGTTCATCTCTTTCTGCGCCGCGCATTCCTTCGTGCTCGAGGACAAGTTCAAGAAATCAGTGCTTCCTCTTTATATCCTTGTTTGTCTTCCAGTTTCCTTCACAATCGTAGAGTTTCCGCTCTACAAGGATCTTGTGGAAGCCCTTGTTGTGAAGGTCCCAAGACCACACGATCTAGGACGTATTTAGATCCAATATGGATTGTGTTTATCCATATTATTATATGTTGCTTTGGGATTCTATCTTCCCCCTCCCCCTCATTATTATTTGATAGTATGTTTTAATCAAGATTTTCTCATCTCCTAAGTTGCAGGATTTTACTCCTGTACCGTGACGCTAAAAATAGGTAACTTAGTCAAGTGTTTGCCTGTATTTATTTTGCTTCCTGGGATTCATCAGTACATCCCTTCAAGCTTCATTTCTTGCTTTCTCATTACATCTAAAATTTACCTGTCCCGTGCGTTGCACAGGAAGCATTCGCCGACATATCATATAAAAGATCATGTCTATTATTATCATAAACATCATTCACTCTCCCGTGCGCACAGGAAGTATATACTTTCATTGTAATCAATTTAAAAGTTTTATAAATAAATATATATCATTGAAAAAATTTCAATAATAATCGCTAACTGACATTTAAATTATATTATTTTACTTGCTTACAATGCTGTTATATGAAGAATGGTATTTAAAAAAAATCTGAGATTAAGTTATGCAAGTAATCATAAAAATGTTTTATAACAAATCAAAATATTTATAGAAGCATGTTGTGTAATATTTGATCAGATAATATAACAAAGAGACAAAAAAATACTCCTAGGTTGCCTTAGATCATTAACCTTGGATAATATTGAATTTGTATCACTTACACAAGACATTAATGGATCTTTTAAATTGCCTATCCTTGGGAGGGAGATATGTTTCCTTTCTAGAAGAATCATTGAACCACTGTTAGTGCTATTCACAATTAAGCGTGATAGTGCTCAGTATAACTCAATTAGATTGTCATATAAAATAATATTAAATGTTAAATATTGATATCAATACTTTTATTTTAATATCACCGCCCAAAAATGCAATTTTTTTTTCTAAAAGAGAGATTATTTACTTTTTCTCATCAATCTCTGCATTTATTATTTTTATTGAATTAAGAAATAGATAGAGCTAGGCCAGTCAATAATTCAACGTAAGCCCCACTAATACCTAAATTCATTCACATCTGTTTACGGTCTAGAGTAAAACAAAAACTCTGGGCTCAACTCTATTTTCCCCCTTTGATACTGTTCTAATCTAATATAATTAATATTTCTTCTTCTTCTTAAAAACTTTTTCTTGCCCATTTCGTCTCTTCTACATGACACTTCAATAAAGTGTTAATGTCCACAGAAAGAACAGTCAGATCTGAAACACATAAGACTTGCAGAAAAGGTTAATTAATCAGATCAGGATTCATCTTGAAGTTGTTATTGAGGCTTAGATGTTAGATCCTCTCTTCATTTTGTTAAATTGATATCGGTATTATTTTAAAGTAAGAAGCAAGATAGTTCTTGTCTGCGAGTCAGTCACATGACAGTTTTGGTTGATGGGGATATAAATGACCTCTCCAAAACATTGTTTCAAGATATCAATTCTCTCAAATTTGAAGTTAATGTCGAAAATGACAAATAAAACGAGGAAAATTACTTTTAATACTTTTTTTACAATTTAAATTCACAAAATATACATGATTTTTAGTCCATAATTTCAATTATATATTTTTATAAAAGGGAAAATACATCAGTAAATCTCTATACTTTGATTTTTTGTTTTTTTTATTTCTACAGTTTTATTTATTTATTTTCAGTTCTTTTAATTTGATTCATATGCAACATTAATTAGTCCCTATAGTTTTAATTTCATTGTGACTCTCTCTCTCTCTCTCTCTCTCACAACAATTTTCATTGTAACTCTATTAACCACTTTATTAACATTGAATTAATTGACTAGATAGGATTAAAAATACAAGATAAAAAGAAAATAGCTTTCTTTTTATATTTGGTTTAAACAGAGTGTAAGAAAAAAAATCAGATTAAGTACACATCAACAAATGGGTTAATAAAGTTAAGTACTCCTAGATAGGATGCATTTTATAAGTAATTTTTGATCCAAAATATAAAATATTTTGTAATAATTAAATTAATTTTTTTTTCAATTTTACCCTTTCTTGATTAGTGTGAATGTATTTAATATAGCTGTATCATTATTAAAGTCAAGGATAAAAATGCAAATACATATCATTTTTTATGATATAAAAAAAGCTAACTCTTCTTAAAATGTTTAAAATAAGGGATAACAAAACTTTTTGTATTTCAAGTTTGTCTCAATTATCAACTTAGTCCCTTAAGTTTAATTTTTCTTAATTTAATTCCTTATAATTTCTTAAATTATCATATAAGTCCTTTGTGTTTTGAAACACTAATTGACTCTCAAAATAATCAAATGTATAAAGAGTATTGACAATTTGGCATGTATGTATTGCTAAATAAGAACAAATTAGCCCTCATATGAGTTTACTTTTTATCAATATAATTACTTATAATGTGTTTTATTCTCTTGTATTTTAAAATTTCAAAGTCTATTTTTTTTTCTTACTTTAACAATTATACTTTTTTTATTAATTTATATGACCGCTATCAATAGTTTGTTATTTAAAATAGCAAATTTTAACTGTGCAATTTATTTTTAAAACAATAAGGACCCAATAAATAATCGAATAAACTTAAGAGACTAAATTGATAGAAATTAAATTTAAAATACTAAATTAATAATTCAGATAAATTTGAGGGATTAAAAATTATATTATCCCTTAAAATAATTGAAAGTATTTTATAATAAAAACAGAAAGAAATATGCATTAAAAATTAACTCCATTTGTACCAACTTACTCATTTTATATTTTTTTTAAGCTATAGGAACTAATATTGGAGGTGAATTAAAGGGATTGGAAATAAATAAATAAAATTATAGAGATTAAAAATAAACATAATTAAAATACATGATCAACTGTTGTATTTTTCTTTTATAAAATAAAGATGTCTCGGTTACTTCGTTCCTTTTTGTCACATCTGAAGAAGCTTATTATCACAAACAGCTTCCTAACCTTTCTTTGCTTTTACTCATCCCACCTTCAGGTGATATCTTCAATATTTTATTATTTTTAATGTCTATTTGTTATTTAGTGATTAATGATTATGTAGTTCCATACCATGTCCTATCCATTATAAACCTAACGAAACGTCCAATTAAATAATTATTACCATCAAATGCCCATTTGAACTTTTTAAAGTCGGTATCAATTAAATAATTAATAATTAAATAATGAATAAAAAAACTTTGATCATGAATGAACATGAAGCCAGAAGCAGGTGCTCCAACACCTTTATTCAGAAAACCCAGAACAGTGGGAGCCAAAAATATTGTTTTAGATTTTCAATGTATTGCGTTGCTTGGAATCTCGATACACACAGTCTTGTTTATTTACTACATTACTTTTTCAGCACTAAACAAAAAATTAACATTCGAATATTTAAGTGTTCAACTTATTTTACAATTTGAACTATTTAATGGCCTACGTTAATCTATCACACAAATAATTTTAATTTTTTAATATTATTTTTTAAGAAACTATGTTAAATTTGATAGTCAAATGATAGGTCATTGTTTGATTCGTGGATTAACAAGTAATGATTTTGAACAGTTAACCAGATAAAAAATGTTATTAGTGCCTTATTTTTTTTCTTGGAATATTTTGCATTTAGTCAATCCGATTAACTTTTTTCTTGACACAAACAGATTAATTTTTTTGTTCTTACCAAACAACTTTTTTTGTTTTCACTTTTTTTTTTTTTGCCAACTCTTTTCCTAGAAAAGGAAGCTCACACACACACACACACGAAGCCATTTTGAGCTCGAACCCACGCCGTGCATACTGTAGGGTGGGAGTGGTGCCACTGCCAAATATTTTTGTTTCCACTAAAAAGGTGAAAACCCAATAAAGGCACGGGAAAAAGGGCTTTCCACAATTCATAGACGCCATGATCTTTTTCTTTTTTTTTTATATAAGAAATATTTATTGATGACTTGAATGATTTTTTTTTGTTTGAGAAAAGAATCGTGTGGGCTTATCCGTTTCCTTTTAACAAAAATTCATGGGCTTATAATTACGATCCGCAAGTCATACAGCCAATTTTCATATTTCCCTAACAATCACGATGGTGGCCAATACATGTTAATTTATCTTTTTTTAAGTATTCACACGAATTTGAATTTGAAAACTCGTGTTTAAATAGTTATCTTTATTAAGATCAATGCTGTTGGTTGTTAATTTATCTTCTTCCCCAAGTTTGATGTACATTAGTCCCCAAATGCAAATGGCAGGAAGGAGAAATTAGAATGTGACATCTTACTTTTTTTTTTATTGCAAGATTTGATGGGATTTCATTTCTTTCACATTTTTATGCTATCTTTGTTTATATATAGCCGTATAGCCGTATTTCACTTCTATTTATTTGTTTGCGTGAAGTTTGAGGGGAAGAGAACGTGAAAGAGAGTCAAAATCGATGTAGTTACTAGCTAAAAATAGAAAGAGAGGAAAATAATTTGGAAAAAGAGGACAAAGATACACTTACATATCTTAATTTTGATTTTTTTCCCTTTTATTAATCTTAAAAAGTATTTCGAACCAAAATGTTGCCAGTAAAAAAAATTTGTGGGAGGCTTGGGAAGGGAAGATAAAGGGGGTTGGAGAGAGAGAAGTAAATTAGTACTCCCTCTATTAAAAAATCTAAGGTATTTTTAGTCTTTTGTGATGTAATCATTGTCTTTTTTAAAAAATACCCCTATTAATAGTGACTTTATATTTATTATAAGATATTTAGTAGGGGTAAATATCAAAAGATAGAATTAGTTTGAAAGTAGGTAACTACTTTATTGATAGTGAGATTCGGTTAAAAATGTCTTATATTTTTTAACAGAGGGAGTAATATTTATAAGGGAAGATGTTGATCTAATTAGGGAAAGGGGTAGAAAAGGATTCTCCATTTTCATTTCTATTCCTTTTCCACCCGAGACAATAAGGAGTGATGATAATTGTCTTTAGAATCTCAATTTAGAAATAAAGAGAGAAATCATGTCCTTCAATCAAGTAGAGATGTTTTGAGTGATAGTAGGCCAAATCATACACATTTGGTGAGATTATAATTTGGAAACATGTATGTGTTCCAAAGTTTTTTTTGTTCTTCACAACCAAAGACACTTGTTTTTGTTAGGAAGACGAAGGGCGAGAATGATATCCGTCATTGAATGTCATTGATCTCTCTACCTTCAGGGGAATACTTTGATCTCACATCCTTCTTAGTATTGCATGTGTTATTTTGATGTCCTCTAGTCTTGTATGCACTCAATTTGCTCCATGCTTTCATTCTTAAGTGAGTCTCTAGTTGTGAATTGCATTGTTAAT